TCCTCTCTCCCAACTCATATGACTCTTTTACTAATAGTGAAGAAACCCTTCATTTAAAGTAACCGTAGCAATATCTTTACTATAACAAAATAAATTGTATAATATTGTTACCAGAATATAATAAATTTCATCAATTTCATAATTTTCAGAAAAGCTCACTCATCTCTAATATTCTAGCCATGATGTTGATCAAAAATTCTGTGCAACCAATAGAAATGTAACCAAAACAAAGAAAATAAAAAAAACAAAAAATATGAAAAATATGAAAAATACAAAAAACAGATATCTAAATCTAGCTTGGCTCAATATCAAAAAATGTCGGGAAGATAATTTTATATATAATTTTGATATCAGCTCTAACCTTAATCCTAATATTTGATATCTAATATTAATCGGATATTTTAATGGACCTATCTCTGTGTAATATTCTGTTTTAGATTCACTTCTGTTTTTCTTTTCCATTATAGTAATTCGCTTATAAATGTATTTACTGTTATCGTTATACTGATATGCTAAACAATATCATTAAGAAATTGAAAATACTCTTGCAACTGAGGAATCTTCTAACCGCGATAAAAGAATTGGAGGAAAAGAACAAATAACATCAATTTCCTTAATATATTGAATGTTTGTATATCATAGTGAAGAAAAAACTAAACTGTGCCAAGTGCAATAGAAACAGTGTAGAACTCTATTTTGACGAAAACCTTTTTATTGACTCAATAGATGCCCAAAAACATATTCAACTTAATGAAATCAAGTTTCACTAATAAACTGTAATCATTTGGCACAACGCGTATTTATTTTACATCTTTTTTAATTCATAAAAAAATACTAGTCATATTTCCTTTCAGTCAAACTTTGGAGTTTCCGACAATTCCTTCGGATCCTTTCCATACTTTTCGATATACTTTTCATGTTCGGTAATTTTATGCATGTACCCCGAAATTAGCTCGTGCGCTCGAATGGCCAAGAGTGAGTGATGTCCAGTATGTACGGCACCTCGGATTGCGGCTATTGCTACGTCGAAACGGCTTGTGCCATTTGCTGTTAACATCTTTTTTTAGCAATGTTTGTTAGAATTAGGTAAATGATTTTAGAAAATAATGCAAGTAATATAATAAAAATTTTAGTTTGGATTACCCTAAACGGAGTAGTCGTCGTTCCTTCTTCTTGATATCCAAGCTTAAACAAAAGGGAAAAATGTTAACGTTAATAGAATATTAACGAATTCTACAACGAATGAAACAAATACATTACCACAGTAAATCTATCAGTACGTGGGCGATCAAATAACAAGTGCTTGATAACACTCGGATATCCATGAAAATTAAAAACGACCGGTTTATCTCTTGTAAACAAACTTTCAAATGTGCTACTATCGAGTGCATGCGGATGACTTCCCTCGTTGGGCAAAATCATCAGATCGGTAACGTTTACAACGCGAACACGTAATTCTGGCACATCTTTTTTTAATAAATGCGCCGCCGCGATCACTTCAAATGTTACTTCGACCCCGCACCCAACGAGAATGACATCAGGATCTGTTCCGGAATCAACAGACGCGAATTTCCAGACTGATGCCCCAGCGATGCAATGACGTTCTGCTTCTTCGGGTGAAAGCCAAACTGGAGTTGGTTGTTTACTGCCAATCATGAGGTTGATGTAGTTTTTTGCACGTAAACAATGTGCAAGGGTGCTTAGGAAACAGTTGGCGTCTGGCGGAAGATAGACTCGGACTAAATATGCTATTAAAAATAATGCATAGCAAATTAGAATTATATCACAATTGCTCAATTGCTTCTTTCACAAAAAACAAACCTTTCATATTAAGAAGATTATTAAGAAACCCGGGGTTTTGGTGCGAGAATCCATTATGCTCTTGTCGCCACAAAGTGCTAGTCTCTATATAATTTATAGAACCATGTGGTTGTTGCCATGAGGTCGCCATTCCCATTTTTACGAATTTTGCGTATTGGATCATCATCGTTGCTTTTTTTAAAGTTTGAAATGCAAGATTTTTTTTGTAGTGTAATATCGATATCGATTTAATAAAAATGATCTTCAATTTCGTTGTATTTCCAGTGTCTACTTACTTATAATTCCTAGAAATGTCTCGTAGGATGGGAATAATGAGACCCGTCCTTTATGCAAATTCAATTATTTAATTAAACGTTGAAACTCCCGAAAATAGAAAATACTAAAATTATAAGATTACCAGTTAACGTATATCCTTGCATCCACCCTTGACAAGTATGTTCAGAAAGGATTTCAAGTACTCGACCACCTTTATTCGCAGTTTCTGGTGACCATTGGTAATTACGATTTGTCACTTTGAAAACATCGTCCATTTTGTTTGAAGTTAATTCTAATAATTCCCATGTAGAAATGATAAAGTAATGTAGTTAAAAACACGAAGACCAAATATAGAATCGATCTTTAATAGAAAAAAAATAAGATTCATACCATCCGGCGAGAAAATTCGGAAACTTTTAGGATTGCTAAAGACAATACCAAATTTTTAATGCAAAAATAATAAGGCGAGTTTTTTTTTACTTTAATGTTTACATACTTTTCTATTACTTTGGCCGCATAACTCCCGATAGTTTTCATCTGAAGCATAACATATAAATATAGTTGTAATAGTTATGCTTGCTTCGAAAATATATATACTAATACACATACCGAACTAATAAATTCTCCCTTATGCAACATGAACTCTTTAATATCAGGCAACTCTAACGGCTTATAATTTGCAAACGTTTCTTTCCTGCTCCCCATTCGAAACTTTTCGTTCGGAATAACGTCCAACACACGTTGATTGATTATTTCCGCATCCACGATAGAAGCACCCTTTTTCACTTTATCGACATCAATCAGTTCATGAATTCGATAACTTTTCAGCCACGAATCAAACAGCTTAAATTCCTCGTCGTCTGTTTTAGCATGTGGAAGTGGAACTTGGTGAGATCGAAATGATCCTTCGATCGGTTGACCGTGTAGTGTTCTTGGGCCGGTCCAGCCTTTTGGTGTTTGAAGAATTAACATTGGCCATTTTGGTTTGAAAATTGGTTTAAGGTCGGAGGATCGCGCGTGTTTTTGGATGTTGCGGATTTCTTGATATGCCCATTCCATTGATGCTGCTAGATCTTTATCGATATTCTCGAGGTCAGATACTATCCGTACTTTATATCCAAATCCACTATAAACGTGAAAATATATAAATGTGAAAATGTAGATTTGTAATTGAATCATATAGAAAATTCATGTAAACTTACGTGAATAATGCGCTAAGCTCACTGTCACTAATTGTGAAATTTATTAAATTAGTTTGCGCATTAATCCATCAACTTTTTCATACATAAAATACTACATCCACTTACTCCATTGTACCATAAATAGTCTTTTCAGAAATTTTGAACCCATTATCATGAAGAATGGGTAAAACAGCGCCACTTTCCGCCGGATCAATAAATTTATAGGAGTGCCAAGCAGCAGCAGTTGGTCCAGTCTCAGCTTCACCATCTAAATCATTTATATAACGATAACTATCGACCCATTATTGAATTTGAGTTGCAACTATTTCGTAATGTAAAATATTAAATTAAATCACCTCCAACTATACAAGTAACAATCAGATCAGGATTGTCCATAATCGCGCCAAAGCTAACCGACAGCGCGTAACCTAATTCACCACCTTCATGAATTTGCCCAGGAATTTCGGAATTCACATGACTCGGAAAACCACCCGGCCAACTGAAATCTTTAATTAATTTAGTGAATCCATGAACATTTCGTTCATATTTCGGGTAGAATTTCTCTAACGATCCTTCCAGGAATAGGTTTGCTAGATTAGCAGGTGCGCCGTGTCCTGGTCCAGTCACAAGAAACATCGGGATGTCGTGTTTTTTGATCAAAAAATTGCAATGAGCATATATCAAATTTATTCCTGGGCAAGTTCCTATTATTATTTAGCAATATTTATTATTCATTAAGAGTGCCATTATTATGATTGATGGTTCATGATAGGATTAACGTATATATATAGTTTACCCCAATGACCCAGCAATCGTTCTTTAATATGATCCTTGGTCAACGGTTCGAGCAATAACCCATTATCCTGCAAGAAAATCATCGCCGCTGCTAAATAATTAGTAACGCGTTGTAGTAAATGAACAGATTTTAAACTTTCTTCATCATCAGGTTTCAAATACTGAGAATAGTCTAGTTTTATTGAGAGATTTTCTTCTTTTGAATGTAACGACATTTTTATTTTTCGCTTATATTTAATTTTATTAATGACAGAATTCAATATACACTCGTATTTATACTTTCACTTAATATCTATAAATCACACTATCTATTTATGCAAGAAAAAATATGAAAATGATGAAACGATGACATATTTAGTTTCTCACGCACATAAAAAAAGTATGTAAACTAAATATAATTTCAAGTGACTCCCTTCAGCAAATCAAATAGCTGCTATTTAACCAAATGCAAAAATGTCTGTCACTTCACCGGTAACCATTGTTATAATAAGATTTGAATGCTTACATTAATGTATTCGCTTCACCAGTCATCTTGGTTCTAACCTTGCTGAAATTCTCGATTACGTTTTTTTCATCTTTACTGCTGAAATCACTACTTGGTATGAAATTAGCCTGTCAGGAATTGGCATGCGGCTTTGAATCAAAAATTACTAATGAGATCACCAAAATTTTTGATATTCAATGGAATCGGCAGATCTGAATCGTGACAAAGAACATAAAAAAATTGTATTCACATAACGATAACAAAGCTTTTAAAGCGTAAAGTGACATCTGTACACTACTAAGTAATTGCAGAGACAAATGAATCAAACTAGACGCAAAGAAAATTTCTAGTACTGAAAATACAACTTTTTGCCAGCATTTATTCAATACGTATATGAAAATCTCATTGGAATGATTATTAAATTAAATTATTTTACAAAAATTACTTTTTCTAATAATATTAGTCAGAGTCATAATTGATTGCCCCTATACTTCAAAGAGCTGCTAGTAACCATTCATTCTCTAAATGATTACTATCAATTGTTTGTTGAAGAAAAGTCTGGTGAAATATCTGCAGCTGTGAATACCTCATTTCTTTCCGATAATAAAATAATCGAAATAATAAGTCACTGGCAAACTTTTGCATATATATAAATCATTATTTCTTCTCACCTTAACAAAACTTGTTCCACGATGTTCGAATCAAAATCTGGCTTATCAAATTCTTCCGTTATTTTTACGAGATTAGCAATCAAATTACCATTCTTGTAGGCTAAGATAGCAGGTAATCCAGCTGGATCAAAATCTAATTCGTGCGCTAGAACGCGAAGAAATTTCACGCATGCGTATTTCCGTGCTAGATGTACTAGACATTCGTTTAATCGTATACACTCTATAATAGACTTGTTACATAAAGGGAAAGATTACGTTACTCAATTATTAACAAGCAATGGCAAGATCATAAAATCATTATGTTGAGGTAATCTTAATTTCTGAGATTAATTAATTTGATATCATAACATAATATTTTATATAATAATACCTCCTCCAATTATTTTTGAGTTTGCCTCATTGCCTGAAACTCACATTTTCGTATAAATGTAACACGATAGATACATTCGCTGCCTCATTGTCAATAGCGCTAACATATTGACCGGCCGAAACCTCTTTCAAAAATCCAAACTTTGGTCTCGATTTGTAGTATTCGTGGTTTTTCATTTCTTTTATTCGTTGTTCTCGATATCTACGAATTACTTCTTGCTCGTCTTCGTCGTCTTCGTCGGAACTGATATTCTCTAGCTCTTGCAGTAATGCTTCCTCTTGCTTGTTTCTTTCTTGGTCTTCCCGGAAAGTCGTAGTTGTTATTGCTTTTGAAAGCATACGTTCATTGTATGATTTTATAAATGCTGTTTTACGTTCCCTGGCCATTTGTTCATGGAAGGCGTGATCTGCTATTACTCCTTTTGGTCCTGTTTGTCGACCACCATGACTTAGCGGTGTTGTATTATCTACTACCTGTTTTTAAATTGTTAAATTGTTGAATGAGAATCTAAAGTAAAAGCTTCAAAGTTAAGAGTAGAGCTTACCTCGTCAGTTAAATCTTCCCCCTCGGAAACATCTGAGGCATCGGGAGTTCGAGCGGGTTCAGCTGCGTCATCTATGGAATTTTGTTCGACAAGAGCATCCATAACAAATAATATAATGATAAGGTTTAACGTTAAACATATTAGCATTAGGTGACATGTTTTGAAAATGAGCTTAAGTAAAATCCGTTCATTGGTTAATATATTTCGGATCACTATTCAAATTGAATTGGACTTTTCAAATAAAGATAGGACATATATATCGAGTTTTTTATTATAATTATATTTCTGCCTTTTTGAATTCTGGAACATAACACTTATGAAGATAAGAGCTACTTTCTTGAGAAGATAAATTCAAGCGTAGCGACGACAATCAATTATTATCATACAATATTGCTGATAAATTAACATTTTCTCAGCAGAAAATCTAGTTCCTACATTTCCTAAATGGATTAATAATATAACACTACATACCGCGCCTTCAATGAGACATCATTACGCTAAAATTGCCATTTCGACGATTGCTTCCTTCAAAGCATCTCGTTGATGTTCTTTCACGCGAATGTGTATATTTACCCATACATAATCTATACTTAACCCTTTTCCATGATTGTCCCCCAAAAAAAGACCCAATTTATTTAACCCTTTTTATAATTATTATTCAAAAAAAGTCACCAGATTTCATTTTTCAACAAACAAAATGAGTGAGTCAAGTACTTGTATGTATTTGTCGAAAGAAGACATCGTATAGACTTCAAAGTAAAAGAACAAAAAATTTTGTAGTTAAAGGGAATGCAGGCTTTTAACGTATTTATTACCTGTAAATAAATGAAGTATAAGCGAACAAAATAAGTTTATACTTAAAAATTAGAAGTAAACAAGTAATCTAAGTAATATACCTTGAGCTTTGAATCCTTCAATGTTTATCTGACCTTGTCAATTTTACACATATCCATAAACTTGCGGAATAATCCATACTTTGGTTCTCTATCACACTGCCACCACGGATCTGGCATTCTTGAAGAGAAATTGTTTAGTGATCACGATGAACAAAGTATTCAAATTCTGTGGCGTCCTCATCTTCAGTTGGAGAAAATCTTTATTCTTTAAGCGTCCCACCGTTGGCATATTCCATATCTTTGAAACGGGTGTAGCATTGCGATATTTACTGCAAAACATTAACCATAAAAAAAGGAAATAACAATTATTTTTCACATCTAGGAATTTTCTTTCACAGATGCGACTATGACTACACACATATTGTTATAATTCCGTCAGTACTTACACGTAAGATCCTTGAAAGCTTTTTTGAAGGGATGAATACTCGTTTGGAGATTCTTTGACTTTGTAGTGTCATAATCAACCTGACAATCCTTCGCAAATCACCTCTATTACGAAGCTTTCGCGGCCTATAGCTTCTCAGTTTTGTTATTGTTATAGCGTGCTATTCTTGGTCATAGTGGTGGCGATGGAATAATGATCCAGGAAATACATTCGTTTGTTGTCAATGGATCACATTTAGACTTTCAATTCCCAATATCTCCCTTTGAGAAATTCAAACTCTCCTGTAACTCACGGATTATATAAATTCTCTCTAAATGCACGGTATAGCTTGGTCCCAGCTTATAAGAGCTCTATGTACTTTGCTCTCTATAAATGCACACCCTAAATGCATTTTTTATATTTTCTTAGGGCGGTCTGACTTGAATACCTTATATATCTAGCATGAATTTTATCATGTGATGCCAAACAAACTCGAAATTATATTCAAGCTACACATACATACACAGAGACTTCTCTACCCAGATAGATATGCTTTCTTCAAACATGGGCATACGCAGACCTTCTGACGAACACGTCTACCCTCATGTAAATGGTTCCGTGTCACCCAGTGGGCCGTCCCCGTCCACCTCACCAACTTATCAAATGCCAAACGGTCATTTCTCCATCAATGAACGTGAACGACGTTCTCGTTCATCCTCAGATTCAAGTGTGTACTCAGCAGAACGAGTCTATACTTCGAATAATAACAACCACTACTACAACCACAACCACAACCACTACTATAACGAACAAAATAATTTAAATGAGCCCACCTCTTCTCCAAAGAGTCGTCCACTACCACCCCAAATATCAACGAATGTGGGAACAAACGGAACTCAGAATAGTAGTTTAACTCGTAAATTTCATGTAATACATAAATCTGAGAGAAAAATGAAGGAAAGGCAACATCGTGTTTCGTTTGCTGATAAGGTTTAATATAATTATTGAAATTTTTTATATTTTTAATATTTTTTATTTGCGATGAATTAATAGTTTTTGCTTAATTTAATTTCGCAGGATAATTCACCACAAGTTGGGAGTCCACCAAACGAATATGCATATAGTCCTTCTCCTACCACACCCATACGCTCGGGGACACCGTCGCCAACTCAGACTCCATCTTCAGATCTTTCGCAAAGGACATTGACACCAAATTCACCTAAAACATCAAGCATTGTTCCCCCCCTTAGGGTTTCCTCCTTAAATTATCAATTTCAAAGTCCATCCAGTAGTAATAGTAATAATAGCAACAATAGTTCTGTTGCATCAAACCAAATGCAACAACAACAGAGTAATAAATCAGAAGACAATCTATCGAGCCCTCGCCCTTCAAGTCGAAAAGAATCACCGCAAAAACCGCAAAAAGTGGACAGAGCGGACAGTTATCCGGTAACTTCCTATTGCAAGCATTACGTCCTGCCGTGCATTATTCCAAGAATGTCTTTCTCCGAATTATCACGTATTAATATGCGTTATTTTTTTGATTGGTTTTATTTTCCAGTCAGTCACGAAACTTTTTTACGATGTAGCAAGAAATTTGCAGGCAACCCTTAATCACACGAATTTCTGTGTGATCGATGTTACCGGGATTGATGATCCTGCTAAAATAAAAAATAAGATTTTTGATGCGTTGGAAATTAAGGATGATAGGGAAATATATAATATTCATTTGACGGAAATTGGTCAAAAGGAAGATGGTATGTATGTTTGTACAAATAAGTTAAATACAGTTTATTATTATTTTTCCTAACATTTTTATATAAAATTTCTTAATAAAGGTCCTATAATTAACGACGAAGAGTTGGTTAAAAAATGCAAAAATGCTGATAGGATTGGCACGCTTAAATTATTTGTAAAGAAAATGCATGCGTCTGAGGATGTACATTATTACACTGCAATCGAGAGAAATCCCACGATAACTCATCCACCATTTACTACTACAAGTATCGAGGTCAAACCATTAATTGAATTTGTTGGTGGATTTAGGCCAAATTTGGTCCCAGAAATACAACAAAAAAACGGTCAACAAAGAGCTCATCTGTATACCGATGAACCATCGGCTATATCTATTTCAATGCCTCAGCCTGTTATTTACCAGCAACAACCGCAAATACAAGGACACAGCAATAAAAGTACACCTTTCTCTCTTCAACTTTATAACCCATGCGAAAACATTGATCGACAACAATCGACACGGCCAGCTGTTAAATTTTCATCAAATAAACTCCAACATCCACCAAATTTAACACCTGGAGCACCACCAAAAATCAATAACATCATCAAAAATATTGTTCAACAATCATCTCCGCTATCATCAATAGCGAGTCATCCATATCCTTCGTCAGGTATAAAAAGGTGTTTAAGTGAGGAACAGATTGGTCAAAAGAAATATAGTAATTTTGCGCGAATTCAAAATGAAATGCCAATAAAGAAATATAATAGTGTAGAAAATTTTGATCAACCGCCTAAAAAAACTTCCCATGTACCCAAATCATCCTCAAAAAATATATTAGGAAACTTTAATAATTTTGAAGAGCTACAACGTGAGCATACAATCAATGCAAATCTAACGGAGACTTGTTTCGTACATTTAACAGATAATTCAACGACGGTAAAACCAACAGAAGAAGAAGAGCCTCCTCTTTGGGCTATAATAGATCCTTCAACAATTGAGGAGGAAGACAAGATAGGCAAAATATGGATTGATAAACCAATTAGCAATCCGAAGCAAAAACCAACAGAAGAAGAAGAGCCTCCTCTTTGGGCTATAATAGATCCTTCAACAATTAAGGAGGAAGACAAGATAGGCAAAATATGGGTTGATAAACCAATTAGCAATCCGAGGCAAAAACCAACAGAAGAAGAAGAGCCTCCTCTTTGGCCTATAATAGATCCTTCAACAATTGAGGAGCAAGACAAGATAGGCAAAATATGGATTGATAAACCAATTAGCAATCCGAGGCAAAAACCAACAGAAGAAGAAGAGCCTCCTCTTTGGCCTATAATAGATCCTTCAACAATTCCGGATGGAGAAAAGAAGAGCACACTATGGATCAATAAACCAATTAGCATTTCAAGCACTTCAAGCTCAATCGATACCACTTTAGTAAATTATCCTATTAGTGATAATACTTTAACAAACAGTGATGAAGATGAAGATCTCTTGAATACACCTCCAAAAAGTTCTCGAGAAGAGACACCAAAGGATCCATCTAAAGTGAGATTTGATGTTCCATCAAGTTCCCGTCCAGAACGCAGTATTGCGCGATCTGTATCTATGAGAAGAGGACTTAAAGATTCTTGGGTTGTGAGACCTACAGTTGAGGATGTATATGAGGATTTACAAGAATATTTCCCTGAACATGATCTTGACAAAGAAATTGATGGAACAGATAGCGGCATAATTCATCACACAAATAATGATGGAGAAACTATGCCATCTATGACTACCTCTACTAATTCAACTGGGAAAAAAAAATTGGCTCGCGGAAGATCAATTCGTCATGTTGCAGAACAAATTGTGAATCGTGAACGCCAGCAATGGGCAATTGCTACGACAGCAGTACAAGCAAATACGAAGTTAAAGAGAAAAATCACAAAAATATGGGGAACTCGTACAGAACAAGTAAAACCAGGACAATCTTGGACCTCTCAACAAGGACAGTCAATTGATGATAATAATAATAAAACCCCAGAAGAAAAAACAGGTGAGTTACAATAAATGGCATCGCCTATTATGAGATCTATATTTTTTATTTAAAATATTTTATATTAAAACTTGATTTTATTGGTTATTTCGTAGTACCTAAAATAAAATGGGCGAGAGGTGCATTAATTGGAAAAGGTACTTTTGGAAAAGTATATATCGCTTTCAATTTATCAACCCAAGAAATGATAGCAGTCAAGCAAGTGGAGCGGCCAACTACTGCATCTGATATGCTGAGTGAAAGACAAAATAGTTTGGTAGATTATAATCCCAATATATACACGTGCATTCAATACAACATTAATAGATACTAATGTGCATGTTTAATATTTATTAATAGGTTCGATCATTTTACGCTGAAATGAATCTTTTGAAAGTTTTAGATCACGATCATATTGTCCAATATCTAGGTATTTTGCTTTTTTTTTTTAATTTTCGCTGCCTTTTTTATGTTGATATCTTACCATGTACTTGTTCTGTATGTATTTATTATTAAGGTTATGAGGAAACCCCAGAGGCTTTGAATATTTTTCTTGAATACGTGAATGGCGGGTCTATAGGAACATGCCTGAAAATAAATGGCAAATTTCAAGAACCTGTAGTGCGATCTTTTACTCGACAAATACTTCTTGGGCTCGAGTACTTGCACGAGAAGAGTATTCTTCATCGGGTTCGCAAATATCAATTTGTAGTTCTTGGTATATTTATCGTTTATTATTAATATTATCAATCATCATAATAAATAGGACATTAAATCTGACAATATTCTCGTGAATGAAGACGGGTGCTGCAAAATTTCGGACTTCGGTATATCAAAGAAAATTAGTACGTATTTTTTTTTGACAAGCTTATACACTTGAGAGTCGGGGTTATTTTAATATGCTTAATGAATTATTTTTTTACATTAATGTTAGATCATGCTTATGCTTACGATAATCAGTCAAATATGTCACTACAAGGAACCATATTCTATCTTGCGCCTGAAGTATTCACAGAAGGATATAGTGCTAAAGTCGACATATGGTAAGTTCATTAATTGTTATATTCCAATAACAAAAATAAAAACTTCGAAACCTGAACTATTTTTGTGTGAAAAAAAATTACAGGAGCCTAGGGTGTGTCGTAATAGAAATGTTTACCGGTAATCGACCTTGGGCAACATTTAACGATCTAACTGCAATGTACAAGGTATACAAAAAATCTTTTGTATTAAAATAATTAGAATCTTTATTTCTTAAAATTAAAATATTTATCTTTTTTAGATTGGTAAAGAAAAGAAACATCCACCGATACCTAATGAATCTATGATATCACCAGAAGCTAAAGATTTTTTAGAACGATGTTTTATTATGTATGTTTATTATATATCTTTATGATTTATTTGATGTTATTCTCATTCTTACATCTTTTCAAATCCGCAGAGATCCAACAAAACGACCAAGAGCTGAAGAATTGTCGGAACATCCATTCGTGAGAGAAGATCCTAATTTCCAGTTCAAGGTAAAAATAAATAAAAAATGCTATAGTCCAATTTATTGATTGGACGTATCCATTTCTAATATATTTATCTTCGATTTTCATTTTCTATTAGAAATATATCAAAGTACCACCAATAGTACCATCTAAATAACAATATCAATGTTATACAAGGTTGAACAGTGAAATGCGCGTTTTACTTAATTCTTTATATAGTTGCCCCGTTATTCCTTAATAATATTATATATATTGTGTGTATTTATTTCATTCTATTATTTATTTTATTCGTTTCTATTTCATTTTTTAATCTTGTAGACAATATTTCGACCCCAAAGAACCAAACATAATTTATATGTACATATTTTTTATATTCATATTTCATTATTTCAATCATAAGTAGTAAGTAATTGTACTAAAAAAAACGATTTTTTATTCTATTATAAATTTTCTATTCATTTCTTTTTTATCCATATTGAAAGAAAAGTTTGTTAAAAATCATTACTGCTGTTAATTAGTTTTGTCCCCATGAAGCGCTTATTGTAACAATTACTTTGATTCATTATTTTAATAGCTCATAATATTTAGATCATCACCGTCATCTTTGGTGATGTAACAAAATTTTCCCATATATTGTAGTGAAAGTGAAGAGTATAATAATAGATGTAATAATAGCTTAAATGTTATGATTATAGAAATTTACAGTCAAACTATATTTTCTTCGATTTAATGGGAGTTAACTAAGTATTTTATTTAAATATATATAATGTAGATAAAATATGTGACTGTTAACCTATATTATATTTATTTATTTAAAGATACCTAGTCAACTCTCGTTAAATCAAAAAAAAATATGGTCAGTTTAACGAGAGTTGACTGTAACTTTCCGGAATATATCGATATTTTGTATAATATCCTAGCTATAACGAAAAAAAGTTTCAAACACGTGATCTGAAAATAGGTCCACTAAAATATCCGATTAATATTAGATATTAACGTTAACGTTAACGTTAGATTTAGATATCTGTTTTTTGTATTTTTCGCATTTATTGTGCCGGATTTGTTTTGCCGAGTTGATCAAAAATTTGCTACATTCCTATTGGTTGCGCAGAATTTTTGCGCATTCTTATTGGTTGGATTGGTTCATTATCACATTTATTGAAGCTACTGTAAAAACATAATAATGACTTTCCTTATGCTCAACCAATCATATTCTCTAAAAATACGAATAATCACCAACCAATAAAATTAAACTTCCCCTAAGCTATTTATAAACGCGTTCAACTTTTTTCATTACAATATTACCAGAAAAAATTCTAAAGTACAATATCGGGATAAGTATTTATTGTTCTTCACTATATAAAATGCTAAATATTCTAATATGTATCTGTATGTTAGAATATTGTGAAAAATCTCATTCCAAGTGGGAAAATATAGTTACGTGGGATTACTATTTCACCAAAAAGATATCAAATGCAACAAGATATGCATCACATAATGCTTTGATTCAGAAATTAAAACCTGGAACAAGATCAAGTGATTTAAAAATCAGTATTTTTCACGAAAAGAGCAAATGTACTACGTCCTGTGCTGCTGATATAGGGAAGAAGAGCTTTCAGACTTATAGTGGTGATCATAATTAATGCAACAAAAAAAAAGATTTTTGTTGAATCAAAATATTTCACAAAAATTAGGAGATATCCTTTTTGTTTTTTGATAATTTTGTTCGCTAATAGTATCTTTTTTATATATTAAATTCTTAACAGTCATTATTATTTTCAATCCCAAGATAAATACATGATTAGTACAAAACATGTGTTACATTATTTATAATCATTTTATGCAAAAATCAGACAGTTATAGTTGTGCTACATAAATATTTTTGATCAAAAAACTCAAGTGCAAAAATGCCATATGACTCCAGAAGAATGGGTACAAATTCTTCTTTCTCTCCAAAACAGATACATTATAAGACAAATAGCAAAGTCAAGAAATATCAATTCTTCAACAATTTCCCGTATTAATAAAAGATGGCAAGAACAACATTTTCTTGAAAATGCAGTAAGATCTGATTGATCACCTATCATAAATGAACCAATAAAAAAAAATCATTAATCTTATTGTGATAGAAGTCCAAAAACGCATACAAGAAAAAGAGAATATTAATATATCAGCACCTATCATTCATCATATATTATGGAATAATGATTTGATATCAGGAATAAAGAAAAAAAACTCATACCTAAGCAAAAAATATCAAATAAGGTAATTGAAATTTGCATGAAATCATGAAAATTGGATCATTAAAGATTAATCGAAGATTATATAGTTTGACAAGTCTAAATTTAAGATTTTTGGTTCTGATGAAAAGCAATATTACTGGAAATATCTAGATGAACCATTAAATCAATTTCATATTAAATCTATAATGAAATTTGGGAATGAATCAGTAATAATTTGGTGATGCTTTACATCCCAGGATGTTGGTGACTTTTGCAAGATTAATAATATGATGAATGCTGTCACGAGTCCCGGGCTCAGGTAGGTAATCTCGTGATGTGAGTGTTCAACCAACGTCTATTTCGATATTTCAATAATTCGATTCAGTTACTTTTAGGATTACGGCGCAGTGCGACTTCTTCTATTCTATTAAATTAGAATAGGTAACACTACTACTAATAAATATCTCCTTTGTATTTACTTAGTGTGGTGATGGTTCTATAGCAATACAGTACTGATATTCTATAGCAACCTGGTTGAGTGTCCAGTAGTATATAAAGTAAGTGTTATAACAAAATTAATAATTATAAAATCAATTAATGTACAATTTCATTAAATAATAAACAAGAAGCAGTTTATTGACTAGCTAGATTTTGTATTGATTAATTGATACCTTTTGGTTTATCCAAAAGATCCTTTATTTATATAAAATATTTTTATGATTAAGTTATTATAATATAAGATATATTATACATGTTAGATAAATATGATATAGCGAATAATATTAATATGTCTGAGAACTCTGCTATCTCTACAATCTATATTTTATCATATGACTAAAATTAAAGAATTAGAGATAATTCCGGGCCATAACAATGGTAACAATATAAATTATTTTATTTTTATAATTAGTTATTTCACTTTTATATATTTTTATAATTATTTATTTCAATTTTTGTAATTTCAAAAAATGATGCTGTCTAAGTCTTAACTTGACATATTATAACTAAAAATAAAAATCTCTCTTAACAAAAATCTTTCTCCAAATATTTTCCATCTCTCATATTTTCTTTATATACTTCAAATCTTATATATAAGTGATCTTATATCATATTGAACCTATCAAATCACTGATGGATTTATATCATATTGCACCAAGCAAATTACTATCATTAATTTTGGGCTTTAAATCATATTGTGCTAAACAAATTGCTTTTATTGGATTATTGAGCTTTATATCATATTGTATTAAACAAATCGCTATATTAAAATTATTGAAATTGGATTATAAGTATTTTACTTTTTGTTATTTAAAATTTTAATTATTAATAAATATTCCTCACTAGTAAGAAAATTAAATTGAAAAAATCTTTATTATTGTTATTACTAATTATATTATCTTAGTTCTAGAAAAATTTATACAAGTATAGAATTATCCTTTGAATTCTCTTTATTATTTCTTTATATTCTCTCTCTTCTTTGATCTTTACTGCTACGGTTACTGCTACGGTTACTTTAAATGAAGGGTTTCTTCACTATTAGTAAAAGAGTCATATGAGTTGGGAGAGAGGAATAG